TGGGGGGTCTTAGTTTTACTGTCTGAGAAATGGGTTTGCAGAAGAGTGATGGAAGGTACAGACAGAGCTGATGTGCCTTGGGATGCTGTAAATGGTGTGTTAGGAAGGGCAGGATCCTCCTGTCCCTGCTGCTGCTGTAGAGGGGCTGTGGGATGGTGACAAGTCACTGATTCTGTTAATGGGTTTCAGGGAGAAAGAATCCCCAGATTTTTGCTGCCTGGCCCCTGTATCCACCACCAGTCGATGCAGGGGGCAGCCAGCAGCCCTCCTCTCTCCTCACTTCCCAGAGGGGCTGTGAGAATTTGGGAGGTTTGAGTTGGTTTTCCCACTGGAGAGCAGCCTGGGATGCAGGTTCATGTGTCAGGGCTGTTGGCCTGCCCAGCCACAGGGCTGGGGCTCCTCGTCCTGAGGCACAAACCTCTTCCAGCTGCCCCATGAGGATGTGCCTAGCATGTGAGTTGGTGCCCTCTGTCCCCAGCACTGTCACCAGAAGTGCCTCCTGCTCTGGCACCACATGCCAGGAACTGAAAAGGCAGAGATGGAAATAATGACTCAAGGAGGCTGATGTAATATTACTTTTCATTCTATCCTTGTGATTTTGGGGGCAGCTTTGTGCATTTTTTTGGACGCTGACTCAGATGTTTTGAACCCTTTGAGCTGGGAAACACCAAACATTCAGGGTAGAGTGAGAAGAACAAAACATGTCACTTGTATCTGCTGTGACACTCCCACCAGTGCAGGGCTAGTGGAGAAGCCTGTGAGCAAGGGCTGGGATGCTTTTTGCATCCAAATGCAGCCTGTTTTTTGCTGGAGGAAGCAAAAGGCAGGTTTCCAAAGTCCTTGTCCCTAGACAGCTGTGAGAAGAGAACTGGCCCCATGGCTGCTGCTTCCCCAGCACAGCCCAGCCCCAATTTGAGCCTTTATTTGGGACCAACCAAAAACATTGCTTATTGCCACATATCCCAAACAATTTCCATCTGTGAAACTGGGGAAAGTGGGGAGGTTTTTTCCCCTAACACAATGCTTCTAGGTGGTGTGATTCCCAGCCCATTGCTCCTTCCACGTTCCATGGCCCAAATGCTACTGAGGACCATTAAAGGTCCATTAAGATGTTTTAATTGTCCAGTGATGAGGGCTGGTGTTGTGGTTGACCATGGCCCAGCTGCAGAGCAGACATGGGGCTCTGAGCCTGCCTGGGCCCCACTTGCCATGTCCATGCCAATTACCCACCATGGGCAGGTTTGCCTACCTCCATGGGGCTTGTGGGGCTTGGTGAATGTTTCCATTTGAAAGATGCAAAATGCTGTAAGTGTTAAGGATTGGTGTGATTTAAGTGTGTGGAAGGGTTAGGTCTTGGTCACTCTGTCTTTCCTGCAGCTCCTGAGCTCAATGTTGTAGCTCTTGTTATTGATGTCCCTATCCTGGAAGGACCCAAGCTGGGACATTTTGGATCACTCCTCTGGAAGAACCCAAGCCACCACATTTCCACAGGTAATGTCATGCTGCAAGCAGCTCTGCAGCTACTTTTTTTTCAGCATGAGTTTACATAGCTTGCCTTAAACCTGACAAACTTAGGCTAAACTGAAAAGAAAAACAACAACCCACTTGGGTCAAAATAAGGTTCCTACTTGCTCCCCATCTTCTGTACCATTTGAAAAAAAAATAATAATATGGGTTGGATGTTACACTTTTTAAGCTGTAACAGTAGAACTTTCCCACGCTGCCTCTCCATTTAGCAGCTGACAAGCAAGACCTGTAATCACCATCTTCATCCCAAGACAAGCTGAAAAACAAAATGTTTCTGGAACGCTGAAGGTAGGTGAACATTTTCAGAATGTCACATATTAAGGTGGTGTCTAACAAGCTCCATGTCCCACTTATAATTGAAACAGAAGAGAGTATTCACTTTTCATTCATTTTTAAAAGACTATTCAAACACCCTTTCATCTCTGCTAAACAGCCTGCCATGTATTTGAAGCCATTTTATATTTTGTTTCTACAGACATCCAAAAAAACAGAGGTGAGTATTTTGGAACATTGATAGAAAGATGCAAAGGCTTGTGAGGCACTGAATGGCTTCAAGCTGCCTCAAACACATTCATCTTCCCAAGAAGAATTAGGCACAGTGTGATTCATTTTAATAGCAGAAGAAAAATAATACTACGATGTAGTGCTAAGTTCCCAACCTTTGATGGTAGAGTAAAAAAAGAGAGAGGGGGAAAAAAAATACCTTTCTTCCCTTATGTTGTTGAAGTCTCCCTACACCCATCCGTTATGTCCAGCTTATCAATTAAGATGAGCCCCATGAACTTCAGATGTGTTTTTTTTTTTTTAAAACAAGGCACCATCCATTTAAATGTGTAAAACTGCCTGCAGCTCCCTTGAGCTGCAGGATCCAGTCCTGAGCTCTGTGTACCCGGTGGGAAGTGGGGCCCTTTGATACAAGTTTTACTGATGTTTTAAATGAAGTCTTCTCATGCACACAAAATAACCCAGATAATGTAAAACCTCATAGAAAAAATAAGGTGGAGAGAGGAGGAAGAAAAAAAAAACCCCACCAAAACTAGTAGGTGCCATTGGTGTAGCAGGAAAAAAGGGGCTGGCTTTGGTTACCAACAGGATGGACCAAAAGTATTTCCACAGTTGCTTTCCCAGGGTTACTTGCTTGAGCTGGGGAAGGTCTGGGTGACAGCTGGGAAACAAATCCATCCCTGGAATGGGCAGCTTCCCTCAGGAACAAATTAAGCTGGTTCAGCTATAAATCAGGTTTTGTACCAGAGAAAAGGAAGGCGCAGGGTCAGAGCTCCCCAGCGTTTGTCCTTCTCAGCCATGTCCATCCAATCTCTCCCCAGTTCCTCTCAGCCAACAGGTTCTCCAGGGCTTTGCTCCAGCAGGTGCTACAGATGAGGGGTCCCACCCCAACCACACCCAGGTGAGGTTGTGACCACCCCCCATCACTAACCATGAAGCCCTCTGATGTGCCAGAAATCCAGCACCAGAACCACCTGCTCCATTCCAGCATCCCACCCTGGCCTCACCAGCCCTCTTAGAGCAGGAGAAAGCCCCACTCCTTCCTCAGCCTGGGGAGGCCTGGCCCTGCACTAGGGCTCTGCTAAACTTGTATCTGAAGCTGTAAATGATTTAATCACTGCACTGAGGTGCAGCCCCAGCCTTTGCTTGCCTGACTTGAGCTGCAACTTAGCTCCTGCCAAGGCTCAGTTGCTTTTTCCCAGCTACCACCATATATGAGAAGAAACCTTTTAGGGAATTAAAGGTGAAATTAAAAGAAAAAAAAAAAAAAAGTCAGACAATATTAATTTGAAAAATATAAAATTTTAATAAAGGCTACATCTCTTAATTACAATAATTATTGTACCAAGTAATTTTTTTTTTTTAAATGAAACTCTTTATAATGCATAATTTACAGTATAAGTAGAACAAAATGCCATGGCAAAAGTCATGAGTACAGGACTTGTAATAAAAGGCATAAAATATATTTATACATAAACCCCTTAAACAAGCAAGGGAAAGCTTGAACCCTGAATATAGGGCGACGCATGGGCTCATAAGGCCATGCAGGCACAGGTACTGTACTGATTAATTTTTGAAAACACTAGAGATAGTGTATTAATATTTTCACCATACATTTTTCTACAATATATACAGACTTACACAAAGTAGCAATGGCAAACAGAACGCACAGATTAACTTAATCAACACAAAACCCAACTGTAGAAATGCAAGGTCTTGCTCGGGAAAGGGTCGCTCGGTCCCAACACCCACGCGCACACAAGGGTCGTGGGGAACCTTCACCCACACCTCCCATGGGCCCACAGGGGTGTTGGGAAGGTAAGGCCCAAAGAAACCCAAAACCAAACAAGCAAAAAACCCCAACCAAAAAAAACACCAGACAATGAACCAGGTGCTCCACGTGCTCTGAGCCTGCCCTGCCACAGGTACCCGGTGCTGAACTCCAGGCTGTGCTGACACCGACCTGGACTGGCTACACAGACTGAGCTGGCCAGGTGGGACACACACAGGGTTGAATTTTTTTTTAACCTGGCTTTTGCAAAGTGTCCTTTTGGTGAGCTAAGTATGGAAACGGGAACTGGATGGCTGCTTTACAGGGTTTTGCTCTACCTTGCCTCAACCTCAAGGGGCACTGGGCACTGCACGGCCCCCTCAGCCCTGACAGCAGCAAAGCAAAAACCTCACCCTGCAGAAATCCATGGACAAACTAACAAGTGGCTGTAGTTATATTGCATCTAATGTATTCAGATCTTAAGACCTTTATTTCAAATTAGAGCAGCATAGACTCAAATGCACTGGTCTCTAGATGAATGGTAGGACAGTATTTTTATTTCTGCTTGTATTATTATTATTAGTATTATTTCTTTAGAAAAGTTTTATCTTCACTTGGAGAAGTACTGGGCACAATGTCACTTCTTCCCTCCTCCCCCTTAAAAAAAAAAATCATGAGTGAGCTCATAGCCAAACTCCTAAATTTTAGCTAGTGGGAACAAGATAAAAAAATAAAATAATCCTTCCTCCCATCACCCCTTTCCTAGCCCCTCTCTTCTTTCTCCATTGTTAAAGCAGCATATCCAAAAACTGGACTTAAGGGAAAACAGACTGTTCAATAAATATCAATAAGGATTACTGTTAAGGTAAGCTATACACAGTTTCTCTTAGTCCACACATTTCAGATCCCCAGGAAATCATGTATTATGTATGGAAGTCTCTCAAACACGGGATGCATCTCCAATAGCCAACAGTGGTCATGTTTTTAATAAATAGTTCAGGGTTTTTATCATCTCAGTACCCAACTCATGAATAATAAATGCCTTTTTTTTTTTTCTGTCTAAGGCTAATTCAGCAAAGTCTTCACAGACTTCACTTTTATTCTTCATTGGTTTGAAACTTTTCCTTCAGAGTTTTGTTGGTTTTTTTTTTTTATTTCCTTGTCATCACTACTCTTGTGTGTCCCAAGACTTTTCTAGCTTAACTTTTCTTAAGAAACACAGATGCCATCAATCAATCCTTTCTACTTTCCCAAGAATCCTTCCTTCGTACATGGGCAGGATGGTTTCATCTTCCCAAATCTCTTCAAACACTGCACCACAGTCAAACTCATCGCTTGCTTTTTTGAAGTAGTATCTGTGGTAAGGAGAATTAAAACACAGTTAAAAAAAATCAAAAGCTAATGCAAAGGATGCTTTGGCAGTTCTTTTAACCACAACATTTCCAATCTCTCCCTTCTAGGATGCTCCTCCAGCGCCCAGCACAGCCAGGGAAACCTCAGGGCTGCTCAGGCCCAGCAACATGAAAGTATCCCTGGGGCAGCAGGGATGGTGATGGGCTGGAGGGAGCAGGGCTGTGCATGCTCCTTAGTGGTCACAACAGCTTCTACAGTGAGTAGATTATGTGTTGGCAGTGGATATCCTCAGCCATAAAGAAAATTAGAAAGCGAAGTGATTGCTGGTCAAATATTTTAAAAATAAATAAACAGAATTTCAAAGCTAAGCATTCTTAAGTCTCCCCTCTCTCCCCACCTTCTTTCTTTCATGTGTTTTCTTGTTTTAAAGATGAAGCCCAACATTAAAATTAGCAACTGTTATTAAAAGGAGAGGCTTTTTAGGCACAGGGATGGATGAAAAGAAAACCACCCCAGCTTCCTGCAACGCAAAAGCTGGAACTCTGTGGCACTCCTGCTGGAAACAAAACCCAGGAGCCTCACACTGGAAACAACCAACTGCCTAATTCACCTGGTATCCATTTTAAGTGACAGAAACTCCTGGATTTGTTTCCCTATGCTGGGAGCACCCCTGGTCCAGTGACACGGGGAGGTCAAGTAGCAGTGTCCTGCATTCATGCTCTTTTGCTCCGGGTCGTTAGATCATGAAGCCAACGCTCCCAGAGACAAAAAGCACCCCCACCCCTCCTGTGTCAAACAGTAAGGACCCCTCTATTATCCTGAATTAGACCGTTCAGCTTCTTGATTAAAGGTTCCTTTTATCCCGTTTGGAGCTTTCTTCCTTCTAAGGCTGCTTAATTGCATATGCACAAATGAAGGGCTTCCATTCAGAGGGGTAGCATTTAGGGAGCCTGTCCGTCTGCCGCCGCACACCTCGGCCATGCCTGCTCCCTTGGAAAAGTGCTTTGCCATCTGAGCTCCAGGGATGGAAAAACCTTCATCAGATGGATTACCCAAAAAAACCCAACAAAAAACCAAACCCTCCTCCCCTGTAGTTCTCAGAGACCTGGGGTTGGCAGATGTTGGTTAGGGGAAAGGAGTTTTGCTATCATTATTTTTTTAGCTCAACTTAAACTCACTTTTACTATGAAAACTGAAAGAGCCAGGGGAGGGTCTTAGATTTTTTTTATTATTATTATTTTAGTGACTGTTCTATTATCCATGTTCCAAATACTCAGTAACAAAACTATTTATTTTTAGGGTATGTTAAAATTATTTTGGTAAGGGGATAAAAGCTGCCTTTTTAGTCAGAGAGATGAAACCAGCTCCATTTAGTCAAGGTATGGTTAGGATTTATTTTTGGAAAGTCATTCCAAGCTGAATTGACACATGTTGCATCTTTAATGGCTCAGCAAGGAAAAACATCTTATTTAAGTCCTTCAGAGCCTGCACTCATTGAAGTCAATGGCTCAACTCCCACCAACTTTCATGCTGCAGGTCAAGGCCACAATTCCCCAGGCCAGCAGCCTTGAAACAAAACCAAAAAAACCCAAGGGAAGTTTGAATGAATTACAAAGAACTTTCTCTTCCCTTTCCCCTTCTCCACCCCTCTCCAGATAACAGCTGCTCTTCCCAATAACTTCCTCCACAAGCCCAAGCCCTGGCTGTGTTTACAAAATTTTTATTTGAGAAAACACACTACGACCTTTTACATAATTACAACCTGATTTCACAGAGAAAAGGGGCTACAAAAAAAAAAAAAACCAACCCTAAAAAATAAAAAGGCAAAAAAATTTTAAAATAATCCTCCCCCACATCATCTTCAAACAAGCCACTCTGCTCTTATTTGCTCAGAAACGGTCTTTCCATTGAAACATATTTTATGTGGCAAGCTTTGCTCCATCTTTTTTTATATTTTATTTTATTTTTTGGGACATCTGGCACCAATCGAGGCGAGCAGGCCTGGCCTTACAGCTCCGTTTTGAACCGCTGCCATCTCCAGATTACCCGACACCACCCAGTTTTTCTGTGTGTGTATGTTTGTTTTTTGTTAACGCCATCAGTATTAAATCACTGCTTAATTCCTTCTTTTTTCTTTCCTTTTTTTTTTTGGGGGGGGGGAAGGAAAGCAAAGCAGCGATTTCCCGGCGGCTGCCCCACGGCTCTGGCATCGCGGGAGCCCGAGGTACCCGCCTCGCAAACTGATCCAATCAATAAAGAATTTGGAGAGTGGAGCATTTCTGCATGTCTTTGTGCATTAAATGAAAGGCAAGGGCTTCAAAGACATGCTTATTAAATGTGCCTTAAAAAGAAATCAATGCCAGATGTGACCAAAGCAGCCTAGTTAGTGCCTCCCCGTAACACACACGCTACTCCGGGCACTGCAGACCTCTCCCCTGAAGGTCACCCGCAGTTTCACTCAAAGTCCAGCCAAAAGTCAAAGCTTAGATCAAAATGATTCCCTGGAGGTACACACATTTGTGTAATTAGTTTCACCTTGTGTCTGTGCAAGATAAAATACTGGGCACGTACCCAAGTTCCTTTTATAAATTTCTGTATTGTCTTTACCCAGGTGTAAAGGGGTGAGATCTAAGCCAAACGTTGTTTCATCCTTGTCAGTCACTTAAAAACATTTTCTAAAGTAATTACAGTCTGACAAGGCACAAATAATTGCACCTGGAGGGACTTTCAGGCCACAGAGGTTTTTTAGTAGTAGCCTATTCCTGCGCTCAGGAATCACACACACACAAAAAGTCATAGAAAACAAACAAACAAAAAATGGATTTATTTTTTTTTTGGAGGGGGTGGGAACTACAGAGCCACTGGAGCAGCAACAGACCAGTGGTGAGGCCAGGGAAACTGGTCTGCAACTGGGGCACGAGGCTGCATCAGCAGGAGGAGGACAGCAGGCTGGGGGAGGCTTCAGGGGCTGGAAAATGGCACAAGGGTGCAAGAAGTCCAAGGACCTCTCCTGGAGGTTGTCCAGGTTGGGTGTATTTGCAGGTTGCTGCCAGCTGATGGCAGCTGGACGGGCTGCAAAGATGGTTTTGGGGAAAGATTGGAATTACTTCAGCCCCACTGTGCAACAGCCACTGACAGGCCCCCAGCTCAGCATCCCCCAGCCTGAGAGTGCCCTTGGGTGACCTGCCTCTGATCTGCATAGGTGGACTTGCTAGCGCTAAAGACACACCAGTGATGGAGCACCAGCTGGGAAGTCCTCCTACCAAACCCCACTGACCATTTGGAGGCTGAATCAGAGGCTGCCAGTACAGGGGAGGCCTCTTGGCTCTTTGAAGCCCAACCCAATTCAATGCAAAGCACAAACTCAAAGCTGGAGCTGCCATTTCCTGCTCACCTGTAGAAGAAGTGGCCAGCAGTTGATTCCACTAGTGCCCAGATCCACTGGGCAAGTACACCAAAAATAGCCAATGTGAAGCTACTGCCATGAGAACTAGAAGAGCAGGGGAAGCAGCAAACTGGTTAAACTGGGAGCTGGGCCCTGGAAACCAGACAGGCAAGGTTTGTTGGCATTTCTGAGAAGGAACTTGGTATCACTGGTGGAGCTTCCCCTGCAGGGCAGAGGTTTTTGGGTTTTTTCCCTAATGAATTAAAAAAGCAAGCTCACTGCATGTCAGCTACATGTCCATTCAGATGCACCATCCCAGCCTTTAACTGACCTCATTTAGTGCCACATCATTGCAAAAAAATATATTAAAAACTTAAAAAAACCAACAACATGAGTAGGCAAAGCAGGAGGCCAGCACCAAGATGAATGTCGACCCCAGTTTGGAAACTGAACCCCACCACACTGTGCCTTCACCACAAGGCCATCCTAGCTTTTACTAGTATTCCAGCTTTTTGGACAAGAGTTGGAACACAAAGCCTGCCAGCTTATGCAACTGGGGGAGGAGGCTGAGGAGGGAGATGGAGAGGAGGTGGCCCCACAGTCATGAGGCAGCTCAGGACCCCTTGCTCAGTCTCCAAGTTACTCTTGGTTTGGGTGGGAAGAGAGTAACATCTACAGCCTCCGAAAGGCAAGGCAGATGTGTCCCTTGTGGGTAGCCCTGCAAAGTATCTGCTGATTCTTTGGACATACCAGAATATACTAAAGAACAAGCAAATGACAGATTCTTACCTGTAATTTCCCTTTTTGCTCAGCTGTTCTTTAAAGTGCCCAAGTGTCAGGCTCTGGGCCTTTAACATCCTCCTGTAGGGAATTTCTTCTCCACAAAAAAAATAGGTGACAACCAACTCATTCGACTGAGAGGTGTGAACAACTGGCAGTTTCTTTGGCTCTTTGTGGCTGAGAAACAGAAAACACACAAACCCCTCTATTTTCCATTTGAGAACAAGCTGTTTCACCACCCTCCACCCAGCATTGTGTGTGCCACACGTATCCCTGGTCAGAAATATTCTGGGTGTGACCCAAGAAGTCAGATATTCCCGTACTCGCTGTGCGTGTGTCATGCTGTGCTTGCACAGCCCCTCTCTGGGCTCCCACACCAGCTCCTGATCGCTGTGCTGGTGGGAATCAAAGTGCCCAGCCATGGGTAGCAGAGACCTCATCCCATCTTCTGGATGGGAGAACTAAGGGATGGGGGTGAGATCCTTGCTGGAAGCATCAGAGAAGGACCATGGCCCAAGTGAACTCAGGCAGGGCTCACCATGGGCTAAGCCCAACCTAGTGAGCCCCAGGACTGAACACCTCTGGTTTTAAAAGGCTCGTTTCACCTGCCCTCACACAAAGCATCTGCCAAGCCTTCTCCTCCTGCACAAAACCACCTGCAACCACCACCAGACTCTTCACCTGAAGCACACAGGTAATCTTATTTTTCCCGGTGAGGATAAAATTAAACTGGATCTTGTCATTTGCACTGAGAAACCCTTCTTAAAGAGTAATTAAAACAATATTACCCAGCAAAATGGCAATGCTCTAGTGAATGCCATGCAGCCAAATCTACAACTGCTTCTGAGGCAATGTACACTTGGCATGTCAAAAGGTCACAAAGTGTTAGTCCGCAGTAATTTAGTCTTCCTAATTTGTTCTAAGTCTTTGTAGAGTGGCTTCAGAAAAAAAAGCTGCTAGCAAAGACAGCTGGTGGACTTAAGGTCAACCAATTAAAAATGAAAGGCTCTAGTCAGGTGGCTCAGTCTGGACTTCAAACATTACTCATTGCTTAAGATGAAGAGGGTAAGAAAGAAAACTTTAATTATTTAGGCCATTTTAGACCTCTCTGTAGCAGATTTCTTGTTAAAAGAACCATCCTGTAATTAGACTAATCCAATCTTTGTCCACTTTACAGGAATGCAAGTTAAAAAGAGCCAGAGACAAGATTTGCAAATGTTTTGTTCTTTCTTTAAGAAGAATGTTTGAAAGACGAAATTTCAGATACAAGAATTTCCTCTCCTTTCAAAGCACAATCCATTTAATGAAAAGATAATTATTATATATATATATATATATATTTCCCAATCCTTTTATGCCCGTGCAATACTCACTCTTCTGTCGTTAGACTTGCATTGCAGAAAGGGGTGTTTCCCCCCTGAACGGCAACGCAGTGGTTTCGATCCCTCTGCTGATTTGAGGTTGAACATCTGAAGTGGAGAGGGAGGAGGGCAAGTGGGGAAGAAGGAAAAAAAAAAGAATAGTAACTTAAAAAATTGTTGAAATACAATCTTCTTAATTGAAGTCTCCTGTGGGTCGTTAAGTTCGCTCTTTGTATCAACCCTCACATGTTGTAAACAATCAAAGGAAGAATTAAAAATGCTGTGGGCTAATTTATCCTTCCTACCCAAATGAATGATAACCAGTCCAATTCTCCACTTGGAATGTAGCTGGAGTCCGTCCCAGAGGAAAAATGGGCAAATTACAGCCATCAAAAGAGTGGAAGTAATAGTCTAGGATTCAAACTATTTGTGCAAGGGTGGGGTTGGAATAAGGAGGCTCATCCTTGGGGCTGGGCCAAGCTGTGCTGTCACGTGTCCCCAGGGTCCCCATGGCTGACCCTCTACCTAGACATGGAAGACACCGTGTTCATGTTCTCCCCTGCCCACCACCGGCCCAAGTGTTGGCTGAAGAGCAGCCCAACCAGCACCCAACCAACCCTCTCCTCCTCTTGCTTCTCCCCATCCCCAACGGTGGGACCAGGCCCATCCCTCCCGCTGCCATTACCGTTGTTTCTGCGGCTTGGAGACCTCGGCGAGCCGGCGGCACGCTTCCTCCAGCTGTGCCAGGGTGTTGGGCGGGGTGAGCGGGGGCATGGCGGGGTCCTGGACGAAGGGGTGGGCGGGGTGTGCCCCACGTGGGTGGCTGCCAGTCCCCCAGGGGTGGTGGCGGCTGGGGGCCCCCTTGGCGAAGTCGGAGCTGTAGGCCTTCTTTGTGCTTTGTGTGCTTGGGGAGGGGAAGAAGTCGGGTTAGAAAAGCTGGAAAATATGACTTTAATAGCAGCTCCTATTCTGCTCGCTCCCTCTCAAAAGTCTGTCATAACATGAAAGGAGGTTTATTGCCAAAAACATGACATTTTTGTGGTTTTTCTGGTTCTGCGGAACAGCTTTTATATTAAACCGGAGGAGCAAAGAGTCTCATTTGTTTTTAGTGATTGTAAAAATAGACAGCCCGTGTAATATATAAATATTTACCGGGAGCGATATTGCTGCAGACAGCTGCCTATTTACCTATGGGGCTTGTGCTTGTTTTGTCTCTCGCTCTCCAGCATCCACTGCCAGACGTTCTGTGCCCGGTCGGCCTCACCCCCCGCGAGCTGGGCGGGGCAGCCCCCCGTCCCCAGCTGCCAGGGCCACGCTCTCCACTCCTCTGCTCGGCCTCTTCGGCAACGTGCCCGTCCTGCTGGTGGCAAGAAGGGAACAGGAGCCCGTCGTCACCCCCTGTGCTGCTGCAGGGCTGCCATCAGCCCCACTGCAGGGGGATGACGGGGTGAGGGTCCGGGGGTGGGTGAGACGGGGAGGGATCTGGCGACTTACCCGAAGGGCTCCAGCGCAGGGAGAGGGGGGTCTGTGTTTTTCGGGTGGCCCTTGCACTTGGGGTAGCAGAAGTAGTCGCCGCCGGCCGGGCAGCAGCACTGCACCCGCTGAGCCGCCTCCGCTTCGATCTGCTCCTTCGTCTTTGGCACC